TATCAACTTGTGTTGTGGCAATTCCAATAAAGATTGTTTTGATTTCAAAACTGCCATAGCTGTTGTGCTCCTATGGAAAAAGCTTACTGTGCGCCTTATTCTTCCAAGAAGCCTGCCCATCTGAGATATCTTGAGTCCTTGTTGGGTTGCCAGATTGATTGTATGGGCCACACATCTAATGTGTGGAGAAAGTTCAGCTTGCTTAGCAGCATTCACTATATTGCTGGCATTGTCAGTCGTCAGAGATAGATTCTGTTCATATCCTTGTAAATTCCACTCAGATATAGCTGAAGTCAGCACTTCTGATAAGTTTTCCGATGTATGTGACTGATCCATTCTTCTAGTTTGCAAAACATAGTTTTTAATTTCCCATTCGTGGATGAAATGTTCGGTAACTGTTATGTAGCCTTCCATTGATCTAGATGTTCATCCATCAGTTATTAAGGCCACGAACTCTGCATTTTTAAGGACTGCTTTGACTTTTTCGTAAGGTTTAGGTATCACCTTATCAGAAAAATGCACTCTGCTGGTTAATCATGTATAGGCTCTAGCATGTTGATCATGTGCTGAAACCCTTCATTTTCCATAACTGAATAAGGCCTCATGTCCTTTGCAATGAAAACTGCGATAGACTTCGTTATCGCCGTTGCCCTGTTGCCTGACCGCGCAACTTATTCTTCATGATATGCTCACTTTCACTGTCCTGTTTCAGTACTGTTTTTTGTTCCCGGTGAAGTTTTTACCATCTTTGAGTCCAACACTTCTGACCTTTCATCAATGCTGTGTTGACGTTTTAAGTGTGCGCTCATGCTTGAAGTTGAACCGGCACAATACTTTAAAGTTGCTGAGCAAATTTTGCAGATAGTTTTAGACTTGTCTGTTGTACCGTCCTTAGCTGGAAAACCATAGTATTTCCACACAGCAGATCTAAAGATGCAGGCAGATTCACAATCGCTTGGTCATGGTTTGCCTTATTTGGAAATTCTCAAGGGGTGGTAGAAGGGTAACATTTACCAAGCAACACAAAATGGCGCACGAATGACGGCACGATGCGAACTGAGAACGTCTAAGTGAAAATGGAAAACATGCATGCTGATTAATTATTAGGGTTTAAAGTGTTGAAGAACAACAAAAAAAACACTGTTCTGTAAGACATCACAACTTTTGAAATATGCAGGATCCATATGGTGTAGAAATAAAATATCATGGCGGAAATAATCAGAAAATTGAGTACTTTTAGTTTTGCTTTTCAGTGGACAAAAACCACTTGTACTAGAGTAATTTAAACAATATCGCATTCTTTTTTACGTTTTTCAATGGCTATAGATGTAATTAGTTATCTGTGACACCAAAGAAAATTTCTTGTGAGAGCTGTGAACTGAAATAAATGTCAAATTTCACAAAATAATAACTTCTTACATGTGAAAATTTCAGAATTTTATCTGTGTTTTCACAAGTCTTGTTGAATTTTGAAGGATTCCGTCTTAAAAGATTGGCAAATGAGTGGACAGCAGGGCTGACACTAAGATTTTAAGTTGCTGAATATCTAGAATCAAAATGTGACAGGAATATCTGGAGATCGTATTTTTCTTTTTGGTTTCATGGTTGCCCTCTGAATGCTTCTTTTCCTGAACGATGTCATTTTTAGAACAACAACTACGACCAATCTATTGAAAAAAGGACAAAGATTAATACAACATTTACAGGATACAAAAAAAGAGGTAATGCGCCTGTAAGGGGGGGCACTTGAGAGCCGTCTGGGTGTAGGTGAGCCCCCAAGGCCTACAAACCTAAGTTTAAGACTGACATTGTTCATTTTGCTACCATGTTTAAGACAAGAGACTGTTTTTCACGACTGTTTGAGATTGTGGCCCAAATGCCCTGTTTAAGGAGGTAATTATTTATTTTTAGATAGTATAAATACAATACAAAATGGGAAAAAATAAATTGATTCATTTGTTTTGGATTCACATACAAAAAGATAATTTATTGAGATTACTGACAGAACAAAATTCGATTATTTTAACACACGTAGCCCGCACACCACCAAAATTCACACCCTGTTAAAGGCTTCGGGTCTAAAAAGACACCCTGTTCAAGACACTCAATAGTGAAATTATATTTCCTGTTAATGATAATAATAATAATGATAAACTTTATTTACGTGTCTGAATATTTAGCTTATAAGCTGATTGGGAACACAACAAAAAAAAACAAACAGAAATAAAATGCTTAAGATTATAAATACAGTGGTGAAATTAGATCTATAAAATGTATGATAAGAGTGTATCGCTATTATAAAAATGTAAGCACTAAAAATAAATCAAGAGGGGCATAAATACCAATTCTGAATCTTATCTTATCTTAAACTACATTTTGCACCTCAAATAGCACTGCAGCATGTTCATTTGGGAACAGAAAGTTCTAACACAAAACCATAATTAGGAAGATTCTTTATAATTTGGATATATTTGTATTTGTAGACAAACATAGTTGTTTCCAAACCTAGCATCCAAATCCTTTGCAATAGCTGTTTTCACTTCTTTAACAAGCATAATGTCATCATCTGAAACTTTCATCTGTTGAATCGGCATCTCCTTCAGAGGGTGAATCATAGATACTGTAGGTGTCTTCTCATCACAAAGGATAGTAGTAATGGTCTTGATTGGTCCCAGTACTTTGATGACACTCTCTGCCACAGAGATGTCATCTTCTGACTGCAAATGAACATCTTTGGCATTTTTCTTGACATCCTTTGTCAAGAGGACAGCTTCAATCGCTGCCTGTTGCTCTAAAAACGGCTGCACTATGTCATAGGAGGAGTTCCACCTAGTCAGTACATCATTTATCAACTTGTGTTGTGGCAATTCCAATAAAGATTGTTTTGATTTCAAAACTGCCATAGCTGTTGTGCTCCTATGGAAAAAGCTTACTGTGCGCCTTATTCTTCCAAGAAGCCTGCCCATCTGAGATATCTTGAGTCCTTGTTGGGTTGCCAGATTGATTGTATGGGCCACACATCTAATGTGTGGAGAAAGTTCAGCTTGCTTAGCAGCATTCACTATATTGCTGGCATTGTCAGTCGTCAGAGATAGATTCTGTTCATATCTTTATAAATTCCACTCAGATATAGCTGAAGTCAGCACTTCTGATAAGTTTTCCGATGTATGTGACTGATCCATTCTTCTAGTTTGCAAAACATAGTTTTTAATTTCCCATTCGTGGATGAAATGTTTGGTAACTGTTATGTAGCCTTCCATTGATCTAGATGTCCATCCATCAGTTATTAAGGCCACGAACTCTGCATTTTTAAGGACTGCTTTGACTTTTTCGTAAGGTTTAGGTATCACCTTATCAGAAAAATGCACTCTGCTGGTTAATCATGTATAGGCTCTAGCATGTTGATCATGTGCTGAAACCCTTCATTTTCCATAACTGAATAAGGCCTCATGTCCTTTGCAATGAAAACTGCGATAGACTTCGTTATCGCCGTTGCCCTGTTGCCTGACCGCGCAACTTATTCTTCATGATATGCTCACTTTCACTGTCCTGTTTCAGTACTGTTTTTTGTTCCCGGTGAAGTTTTTACCATCTTTGAGTCCAACACTTCTGACCTTTCATCAATGCTGTGTTGACGTTTTAAGTGTGCGCTCATGCTTGAAGTTGAACCGGCACAATACTTTAAAGTTGCGGAGCAAATTTTGCAGATAGTTTTAGACTTGTCTGTTGTACCGTCCTTAGCTGGAAAACCATAGTATTTCCACACAGCAGATCTATGGTGGCCTAGGAGTGCCATAAGAAAATTGTGTAGTATCTTGTAAGTTCCCCGTAATTTATTATGTTATTTCATTTTATTTTTAAACTTTAAACAAAAAAAAATTATTATCGAGATACTTTAAATCAAATTTAAACGAAAAAAAGAGAAAGTAAAGTAAAATAATTTTTAAGCAAAAGTAAAATGAAACGAAAATAATATTTCCTTGGCCTAGCAGTGCCATAAGGTTTTTCTAAAAAAAAAAAAAAAATGTTGTTCATGGCCTATCGATGCCAGAGCCCACAATGCACTTCGCTGATCTTTTGCGTAGCTCCTAAGCGATGTTTGCATGATTTCTCTGTTTCAAACTCTGTTTCAAACTCTGTTTTTGAACGGCCATGTGCAATTTTGTAACATTCTTATTTGTGATATTTGCCCAAACATTCAAACAGTAGACAGTACATTTTGCTGAAGACTAAGGCATGTATTACGGTTAACAACATATTTTTGTCTAGGCAATGTTTGTCCCAGTTAATTTGCGCTAGATGTGGAATACATTCCAACACTGTGGTCTTCATATGGTTATCAAATGTTTTATGCCAAGAGCTCTCGCTGATTGGACTGGGAAAAAGTCCTTTCTCAACAAGGACAAATGAAATTCATGGAGCTTAGAGGTCATCTGTCGGCTCCGAAAACAATATTAATTTTGTCTTGTCTGGATTTAGTAGTAGCTGATTTCCAAAGCACCAGTTGTGCACCTGCAAGAGTAAGAGTAAGGCCCACTTGGTTGCTCTCGCTGGTACTCCCCAAGGGTTGGTTTCCTCAGCTTGTGTTGCTCAAGACGAGAGTTTTCGAGAGGCCAACCTATGCTAAGTTTTCTTTCCTTTCTTAAATATATATTTTTTATCTTTAAGAACTCAACGTATTTACAATATTTACATAGAAGTTAAAATATGTACAATTTTATGTGCAGAAATATTTCCAATAAAATAATGTAATGATTCAAGAGCTGTTTATGTACAATTCTTGCTACATAACTATTTTATGGAAAATCAACGTGGTTGATGGTACAAACATAACCTTTTTAATTTTTTTTCTTGTTTGATATCAACGTTTATTTACAATACTAAATAAAATGAACGTCCTCTACTGCTGGCAAGTCCCTCACCCCGGTAGTGAGGACCCGATGATAAAGATAAAAAGAACTCCCAGCTGTTGTATTTACATTGTTTTAAACATTTACAGTCTATCTATTTACAACCCCTGAGACCCAAATGGAATGACTGTTAACCCTTCCACCACCGGCTATTCTGAAGAAGAAGTGTCCAGGACACCAGCAACTTTTGCGCTTGTGCCTTAAAATGGACATGATTGAAAAAATTGCGTTTTTCACATTGAAGGATGCATTTTGGTATAAAGCAAACCATATATCATTTTAATTGTCAGGAAATTTTCTTTCATTTAAGGCAACTTGCAGTCTATTTAGGACAATACTGAATTAATTATAGAATTTCAAAGTTGTTTAATTTTATGGATTACAAACTTACAGTTTTCTTTTGCAGGCACAAGAAAGTTAAATACAATAAAACAGTATAATTTTGCCCCTTGGGAACTTCTATGTATTGTCAAATGCAAGGGTCCTTAACAGAAACAAGAATTCAATGAAAGCAGTAAAAAGGAACCTCTTGTGTCAGCATAAGCATCATAAAACCATATTCCGCATACTGTTGTGAGATGAAATGCAATTTGAAAATGCATTTGAAAAAGTTTTTACTATGTGCATCACCCTTATCTAAAACTTCTAGAAATAAAAAACCTATTGACAACAGTGATGTCCATTTTGTGTTTTTGGATTAACAGTTTCTTCAAGCTTAGCCAAATGTAACTCTACAGCCAGTATTCCAACTTTGAATGATAGTCATAAAAACAGTTGGAGCCCTCCTTTCCAATGCATAGATAAACATTGCACTTCAAACACTTGAAAGTAGTCTTCCTATCTTTAAATGGACAGTCTTTCTTGCTTACTCCTCTGTTTCTTCTCAGAAATTCCTGTTGTTTCTTTAAACAAACAGCGCACCGATGATCATTGCCAGTGCCACGACACACAATGTGTTCCCCAACTCCAAACATTCTCCGTGGGTAGTCATTAGAGCTTCGTCGTCGTTTGTTGCTGTTTGCATGGGTTGTTGGGAAATCTCCAATAAGCTGAATGCACAGTTCATCCTTGAAACTAAGAAGATCTCTCTTTCTACGGCCTGGAATTTGATGTGGCTGGTAATGTCCCTCAATAACAAAGGCATTGTAGACGCACATTAGAATAAGCTTTATGAACATCCTCATGTACCACCTCATTTGCCTCTTTGATTTGCTGACACAAGTCATTTGGTCATGTAAATCAACTCCTCCCATGAACTTGTTGTAATCTTTAACAAGCTGAGGACACCTTATTCTCACCTGCCTCCACTGTCCACCCTGTCTTACCCTCCTGTTGACGATGCCACCATCACCAATGTTGTCTTCATCATCTTCACTATTCATGTCGTCATTCACTCCTACAGCTGGCTGTTGAACTGGAGGAGAATGTAACGTGCTCAATGTATAGATCTCCTTTCTGTCTTTCCACTTAACTGCCAACATAGTGTTGTTCCAGCCAAGCCAAGCAATTTCGCCTCTCTCTCTTGTGGGCATTGCTTTCAGCTCATTCATTGGATAGCCTTTGCGATTTCTTGCAGTACCACTAGCGTATAAACCCATGTTTTTCATTGCAAGAAAAAGAATAGGACTGGTGTAAAAGTTATCCATGTAAACATGGTGATGTGACTGCTCTAAGCCACGCAATACGTTCAAAACAGCTTTGCCAGTCTTTCCAATGTTTCAAACATTCCTCTCATCATTGCCAACATACACATCAAACTGTTTACAATATCCATTGGTACTGTCACACAACATGAACAATTTGATGCCATATTTGACAGGTTTATCAGGCATTCTAACTTTTATTTTCAATCGCCCCTTGAAAGGCACCATTCCTTCATCCACAGAAATGCTCTCATGACAGTTGTACAAGGAGAAACATTTTTCACGTATCTTCGTAGTAAGAGTACGGATCTTATAAAGTACATCTCGTGTTTCATCTTCCGTTCTTTCGTGTTCAGGATCCACAAAGAAAATGTACTTCTTTAGTTGAAAATACCGTTTACGGGATGGAAAGATGTTTCTCACTCCGGGTGTATGAAACACGCTCTTTGCCCCACTGGAGAAAAAGTACCTCTCATCTCTGGGAACAACAAGTAGGTCGTTTGAAATTATCATCACGCGATAAATGCCTTGATCTCAGATGGTGTTGTTTGTTTCCAACCCGCGGCTTCCTTTTTAGCAGCATTCCTATTTGTAAATTCAGCGATCTGCTCGATGATTTCATTGTCAAAAAAAAGCTGAAAGTACTCTAATGCGGATCGTTGTTGTGGGGCGTTAGGCGTAGGACCACACTGCAATGAAAACGGATCGATTTCTTGCTCAAATTGAGTGCTTGTCCAGGTCATATTTGCAGGTAACTGCAATGGAAACCCTTCGAATTCTTCCTCTTCATCGGAATCTTCTGATCCAAATATTGCTTGATAAACCGCTTCACTGTCGTCAGAAAAATCTTCATCAAAGTCAGACTCATCGATCGAGGAGTCTGACTCCTCTTCGCTCGAAGACATTTAAAAATGGCTGCGAAAGAATCGAAAGAGTGCAGCGTCGAAAAACTTCAAAACTTTGGGTGAAACCATGCCGTTTTTCTTCGCTAGAATTCTGGGAAATTTAATTGGCAACCCAATTGAAATAGCTAAACCCCCCTCTTGGCATAGATTGCTAATTTGCATTCTAATATTTCCGCATGTTTATTTTGCCGGATTTCCGGCGCGTAGCGTTACGGACACTTTTTGTTTGCGCCGGAAAACCGGCGCGTAGTGATGAAAGGGTTAAGACTGTGAGAGGAGGCAGTGGTCACATATGTGTATGTCTGTGTGGAGACACTGTTAGTGTAATGAATAACAGTCTGCGACCAGTTGTTTTGGTGGTTGCACGTGGACGTGGCTGTCTGTGGATGTGACCGTTTGTGAAAGCTGGGTAGGCTACTGTCTATGAGGGTGACCATTATCTGAGACCCAATGTCTCTGAAAGTGATTTTTGATGTGATTGTGTGTGTTGCAGTGGCAGTGGCTGTAGCAGTGGTGGAGGAGGTGCATGTACCTGGGCTGGAGCCAGTACCGAAAGGAAGTGTCGCCTGAGTGGCATCGATTTTGCGCCTTTTCGGGGTAGTCTTTGGGCCCAGATTGCCAGGGGCCAGTAGTTGAAACCGGCTCTTTATCGATTGCCAGCTTTGCAACATCACTCTCTCATTTTCCGCCTTCTTCCACGGCTTATTACCTCCAGCCTTCAACATGTCTTTGTTCTTCTCAACAAAATCAAGGATGGCATTATTCTCAGCGGGAGTGTATCTATTCCTCGACATGTTGGACAGCTCCAACAGCTGAAGAATGATTAACCCTTTCAATCCCAAGATAGGAATATTAATTTTACTAACTATCAAGCATGGATTTCTTATGTTACTTCTGAGAATTTAGTGTTCAATCAATTTGTTGATATTTTACTTTTTCCTTTGTTGTCCTCATTTGTATGTCTGGCAATGTGTTGAAATTGTAAGTAGGAATAAAGTATTTGTCACTTCTAAGAGTGGAAGGGTTAATGTGAATTTTGGAGTCCTGGAAAAATCAGTCTGAAGCCTGGAAAAGTCCTGCGAAATTGTTTCACGAACTCTGTTTCATAAATCACAGCTTACCCATTGGTAATGGTGAGATATTATATAAAGCTCATTGTTTATTTTATTGTTCCCAATGCATTGATTTTATGAAAGTGAACATGATCCTTGCAGTTGAATAAATAATCTTCATTCAAAGCATTGTAAAACTTTGCCGCCATCTTGGCACAGACTTTGCACTGATATGTACGGATTGTGCCATGGCGGTTTTGTAATTTAAATATTTTGCATGTTTTCCCACATGGCACTATTTGTTTTTAGTATTGGACAAAATGAATTTTCGACTTTGTTAATAGCGTTTTGATTTTGTTGGTGCACTCTTGGAAGTGAAAGAGTAAAACATTAATAGGGACCCCAGGATACACCATTTCAGCCTACAGGTAGGGGTAAGCAAACATGTTTACCTCATAGTTTTATAAAAGGCAACCATTATTTACCAGATGTGATAATGGCGTACCCATTCTATCTGGTAGCCTACCTGTTTCTCCCGGGTAAGAGGCAATCTACCCGTATTTATGGCTACGTTTACTACTAATTTATCTGTGAACAGAAACAGTGTATCTTAAGGTCTCTTATAACTCACATACCAACTCGTCATATCCTGCTGTCCTGCTGGCATAAATGCCGTATTCGTTGCTCATCTCACGATACCAAAGTTGTATCTCTCCTGCCCCATCATAATAATATTAATAATAATACATATTTTAAGAGGAGGCCTCCATCACTAAGAGTGGTTTTTAGGAGGGTCCTCTATTAAAATTAAAATACTAAATATAAAATAACAAAAAATCATTAAATGAAATATTAAAAGTAAGTAGCATAAAAATGTAGAACTGTGTTAAAAATATGTACATAAGCTAACCCTAAAAAGAATTACATTGAAACCTTTTCAAATTTCTTTTAAAAATCATGTCCGGCATTGGTCTTTCAAGTTCAATAGGCAGGGTAGCCCATTGTAAAAGCTCTAAAATATGTCGTCCGTCTTCCCCATTCCGTTTGCGGCTTGGGAAGTCTAGGTAAAAACCATTCCTGGTATTGTAGTTGTGTAGCTGACTTAAAGGGGTGCTAAATATTTCAAAGTGTTCTGGAACATCTCCCTTGATTACATTCATAGATGTCCAAAGCACCTCCCATGAATTGGAAACCATTTAGCAATGCCACAGTCTTAGCGGAAGGAAATTTGCCACCTGCGATCTTCTTGGCAAACTGATTTTGGAAAGCCTGTAGTTGTTGCATTTCTGATGTTAAGCCAGGCTGATCTCCCCAAATGGTGTTCGCATAATCCAATTGCGGAAGCACCAAGCCATTAAAATAAGCTAGGTGACTTTGTTTGTCCTCAGAACAGATATAAGAACGACATAATAAATACATGGTTATAACGACTCCACAAATCCACAAATGGCAGGTTAATGACTTTTAGGGAATATTGTTGAAAAATCTTCCATTAATTGTTCTATCATTAGATCTCCTGTCAGACTCTGAGTCACTGGTAGCACTGTCTCTGTTGTTGTCTTCCTCTCCACTTTTTCTAGTAGACTTTTTGCAGAAAAAGTCAAAGGTTTTTCACAAGATCTGCAGCGGCTGTCTGGGAATCAGTACAGGTCTATTTGCATTCAATTTCCTCACTGGTCAGGTGGTGTGAGCTGCCAAAGCAGTAGTGCTTGTTATTTGCATATCCATGTCATCATGAGTGGATGAATCTTCATCGGGTAGTTGCGATGGTTCATCAGACATATCTAACAATTGCCTTTTGTTGCAATTTTTCAATTGACTATCAACTGATTTTGTGTGTTTTTGCTAAATATGTTGCTGTGAATGAATTAGGAGACGTAAGTCTGGACTTTTCTATAAAGTGTTTAAAGAAAACTTGTCAGGTATAGAAAGTGAACAGCCCATCCAAGGACTGTAGTCAAGACAAGTTTGATAGCATTGAAGTTGAAGCTGCTTAGTCACTATACAGTCATACTACTTTTGGCCTACACACTATAATTGGGCCGGTTGGGGTAAATTTGAAAAGTAAATTAGCAAGGAAATGGGTATATTACATGTAGTCTGATGAAGAGGTAACAAATAACATGAAGTCAGTTGAAAATGCAACGAGACAAGACAGCCCCAAATCACTAGTAATATGCTGACAAAACCATGGCTTCTATCTCAGTTCAAGAAATAAAAAAAGTGGCTTGATACAACCAGGCAGAAAAAAAAACCCAGAAAAACTGCTATTAAAGTCATGTGTTTCTGGTTAAGTGCGGAGCAGAAACTAAATCACCTTGATTTAAATTATGTGATCACTTTGGATTGCATTGCATTGCAGGGGAGCAAAGGTGATGCAGACATGAGATAACTTGCCTCCCTCCAATGTGGTCTGGGTTTGAATCCTGGTTTTGACGCTATATGTGGGTTGAGTTTGTTGTTGGTTCCCTCTGTTTCTTCCAGAGGGTTTTCTCTGGATACTCCAGTTTTCTCCTTTTCTTAAAAACCAACGCTTCCAAATTTCAATTCAGTCTGGAAAGCTTGGACATGTTTCAAGGACTTCTTATCAACTCTTAAGTTCTCTGTCACTTTAAGCCACTTTTTTTTAATGTCAGTCTTGTGATGTCCTTTTCCCACTAAAAACGTTAAAATCGAAAAACAAAAAAACATACTATTTTCTGGAATACAAAATTCTACCATCCTGCAAAGTTTGAGCTGAAACAAATAAAAAACGCAAAAGTATTTGATCCAAGGATGCACTATTAGGCGTCCTATGTGGTCACTGTGCAGAGTGACTATTAGTAATAAAATGCTCTGAGACTGTGGTGGGGTTAGAGATATTAGATGGGTTGTCAACTGGTCTGCAGTGTTATTGAAACGGTCTTTAAGTGGTTGTTTGCCTTCTGTGATGTACTGTTTTATGCAGCAGCTGCGTTCTACCATGTAAATTACATTATTTTAGTTGCAGTTAATGTGATGGGTTATAGGTGTAATTTCACCTGTAGAGTGGAATGTGTATAAAGTTATGTATTTGCAAGTAAAACAGTTTTCCTCATAGGTTTGAGCCCAGGGTTTGGTTGTGTTGTGTACGATTTCAAATTTTGGCTCTGACTAGAAAATCACTGAGGTTGCTGCTGCACCTTTAAACTTCAATGCTTGCATCTTTAAAGACATAGCAACAGGGGGATGAAATTAAGATGTGAAATTGTTTGTGAATAATATGGACAAAATAACCAGTACGGTATTCATTCGATCTGTTGTCCTTTAGTTCTCTAGCTGTATCTTGAAGCTGTTGCTTTTTGAGCCCCAGAAAAAATTGAAAAAGACCTCACAAAAAAGAAACATGGGATACATGTGTCTTTCAGTGACTAATTATTGTTACTCAGATGTTGGAATTACCATCTTAAAAAAGGGCATGTTTCATCATAATATTAACCACTAAAACCACAGATAAATAGGAGAACATGGGAGAATAATTTCTTACCATGGGTGAAAACAAACCCCAATGTCATGTTTCTTTAACTCGTGTCTTAAGTTTAATTCTGAGTCTATTGGCTTTCAAAATCGTTTGCAGTAAAGTGGTGCAAGCACAACAAGGAGTGTTTCCCCAGCACCTATGTCTTTCTCCTCTCCAGCACAAAGTCGATCCTCTTTGTTCCCTCCTTTATAGGGCTTTCCTCGCTTAAAAATGGAATCTTGTGCATCGATATGTTCTTTTTGGGGACAGCTATGTTGCTGCAATGTGCTGTAACAGAGCTGTCAGATATTTTCCACTGATTATTTTCCGCACATAGATAAGACAAAATCACTCGGCTTCAGGAGAACAAGTTCATGAACCTACCTCATGGCTCCTACCCGACTAAGAGGAGACAAATACGAATGGTGGACCAAAATGGCGGCATATTTCGAAGGCTTTTTGAGGTGGATGTGAGGTGTTTTTGAGCTGTTGTGTTTTTGGTCTTGTTGCTTTCACCATCCCACAGAATAGTGTAATTTTGCGGGAGGATATAGCACGCAGGAATGTTGGTGGAATGTTGTTGCCAGTTGGCCAAAGTGTGGTCATTACCTGGCATGGTAAATAACAAATCAGCTCTCTGTCTTGCTTCTGCCCAGAATCCTGCTCTTGTTGTTTGTTCATGAGGGCAAAAAGTACCTCCACAGTTAGGGCCTCAATGTGAAAATCATTAGCATCACTACAGATCTTAGGAACTGTCTATATTTTGTATGGATGATAAACACTCTGAAGGATGTGACATAGCCAGACATAGTGATAAGAACTTTGCCAGTGTGATGCTTTTCCACTACAGCAGAACTACGGGCTGTGGCGGTGCTGCTCTGAGCTCTCTGGCCTATTAAAATTGTCACAACAAAGTGCGAGACAATCTCCTTTGACTGCATTTGGTAAAAAAGAACAATGACAAAATAAAAGGAACAAACAAAAGGGAAAAAAGACAATACGTACGTGCTTCAATACCTGTAGCAAAAATAACTCCATTGATGAAGGACCAGGCCCAAGACGTTTGGGAAGAAATACCAACTACAACACGGCAGTTTTGTTCTTCACTATTTTGTGTTGAACATTCTCTTACTTACTTTCTAAAATAGCACACAGCTTGTTGCAATTCGTTGAATTGTTCTAGTGATATAAAATCTTTCAAAAAAGTACAAACATATGCAAATACATAAATGATTATTAACATGTAATAAACTTCAATTGTACA